TTAGAAATCCGCCCCCACATGGGAGGGCAGCATACCGAGCAAAAAAAAAACACGCCCAAAGCGCCTTTTTTTCTGCGCGCGCCGCTCACTCACTCACTTTCCGGCCTGTCGAACCAAAAACACAGAAAGTGGAAACAGGAAACGGAACGCGCGTGAGAAACAAAAACACAGAAAACGGCACGCATACGGAACAAAAAAAAAACACGTGTTCCCCCATCCTCAGCGCATCCAACAGAAAGCCAAGGACCGACTACGGACATCAGGGCGGTATCCTCCGCCTTCTGCCGATTACTATTACTGCTACTCTTACTACTGCTCTTATCATTACTACGAGCTGTACTATTTTTAGATTACATCATTTTTGCTATGTTTCTTCCGGTTACCATTAAAATTAATACTTTCCCTTTTCCTCTAACGATTATTTCAACGCCTTGGTGGAGAACTTCCTTACAGCCCAGAGTCGCACCCCGACCGAGCAGTTGGCCGCGGAACCATTCGAACTTCTTGCCCTGAAAGAGGGTGCCTGCAGGGTTTTAGGGTTTAGGGTGTTTAGAGTTTAGGGTGTATATAAGGAATAATGGAAAAGAAAATGGAAACACAATGGCGAATACAATCAGAAGGGCAATTCTGAGCCGTCTAAGCTTCAGAGAGCAAAGCAACCGGAGGGAGAGGGAGAGAGAGAGAGAGAGAGAGCAAAGATTCATCTTCTTTCTCTAAGAGCCACTCATACAGTTTCCCGCACTCAGGAGATCCCATCTCAAAAGAGGCCCTCCTTGCAGGTCCTTGCCTGCAGCAGAGCTTCGGGGTCGAGCATCGCTGCCCGCGGTTGACGTCTTGGACAGCCTCTGCAGAAGCTTACGTGAACATGAAGGTCAGCGGGGCTTTGGGTTTCCAGTTGAGACTTGACATTGAAAACAATAAAGCCAACACATGTGGAAGTGTAGCACCTTAGTAAAATCTTGAGGATGGCCCCCGACACCCTTGAATGGCTTCTTTCAGTGTCTTCTTGGCAGGAATCCATGAAAAAGATGTCAACCAAAGCGGAAACGGCTCACAAAAAGAACAGGCTTCTCCATTCCGCCGCAGCCAGACTGTACAACATCACAGCTGTCCTAGCAACGGGATATCAGGTATGCTCCCAAAGACCCAAGACCTTTTCTGAACATGACTAAAGATGGACTTGCCTGAACCTGAAGAAGTCAAGATGGGACTTTATCCGGAGACCCTGATCTGGGATGCAGGAGCTGCACGTGAAGAAGTTGTCGAATGCATCTGCATGTCAACTGGCATTCACGATGTGGAGGTGAAGCAAACGACATGCTCTGTTGTGCAAATCTTGCTTGGGTTTGCCTTTTCAAGTCTGCTACACCATGCTGCACCAGGAAAGACGCGGAACACTGACACAACATACCCGTTACGGTAGCCCTATTCCACAGAATGATGAGGGAACCCAATGCAAAAACAGCCACTGTCGATCAGGTGCTCCTACGTTTTTAAATTTCTGCTGGCCAGGACACGACTTGCGCTTTCGCCGTCTATGTTTGTGCACCTGAGCGAGCTTCTGCCATGTGCTGCCACTAAGCAGATGCGGACCTTCTGTAAACAGAGGTGGCTGCGTATCAGAGCAGCATGTCGCTCACTTGATTTTGGGCTCCACTCCCAAGGAATTCAGATGCAAAAAGTTTGAGCTGAGGAACCGGAATGCTAATCTGTGAGGAGGCCTGTGACTCCCTCCTTGGCTCCATGGGAGGGAGGCGAAGTCCAGAAAGGCCAAAGCTCCAGGAGCTGCAGCCTAAGGCACGGGTTTGTGAGACATGCCAAGCCCTTCACCGCAGAGCACAGTGAGTTGTCCAACTCAAGAGAAAATGAGGGAGCTCTCAAATCTCTTACTTGGGATTCTGGGTCACACATGGATCTTCGGACAGCAAAGGAGCCTGTGGTCAGAAGCCCATCTCTCACAACCCAAGTCTAACTATGTCAGGGTTCAAAGACCTCTGCATGGAAATTAAAATACGGGCGTGACTTGCTATTATACCATTCGTCAGCATCGAAAACTGTGGATAATCTTAGGGGCAAACCCTCCCCAAACTCTTCCCACTCGTCACTCGCTGTATATTCCAGATCCGACATGGCACTTCAGTGTGCACATAGCTCAGAACAGGAAGTACCACCAGGCTGAGATTGGTTAATTGCGGTTTCACCACTTCCACAGAAGCCAACCTCTGAGTCCGCCAAGCTGAGGCAATGGCTTTACAGATACACGGCCCTCTGTGGGCTGGTGTCTGACTGAGCGGCTTCAAGATAGAAAGTGGATTTTGGCACTAGACCAGGGCGATAACTCGTTGCAGATCTATGTAGTCGTGAAGCCTGGAGCCCAACTGTGAAAAACCGATAGAACTCGACATCCTGAAGATTGACCAAGTCTCCGGTGCCAGCTCCACTTCCACTTGGGGTTGCCTAAGCAGGAAAACGTTGTGGGACGGGATTTGACTTTAGATGTGGAAGGGTTCTCGTCCACATCAAAGACCTTGCAGAAATCAAGCAAGCCAGTCAGTCGATCAGAGCCGAATTTTAGATGGGAGCATCGAGGCCCTGGAACCGCGCACTGTGTTCCATTGCCCCTGAGCCCCAAAGCCACCAAACTTCAGGACAAAAACTCAAATTTCAACAGCCTCAACCGCCAGGTTGCTGTAGTTGCGAGGCTCGCTGCACTCGCGGCCCGAAAGCCTTGGAGGTTGGAAAGCTTGGCAGAACGAGGCGTTGAGTGTTTTTGGCTTTGGATTCCTGAAATAGGGAGGGTTTACGCCGGAAGAACAGCAGCACGCGTCCACAGAGCCTATGTAATCCTCATCCTGGCTCGTCGCGCAATCAAGATTCATAGAGGCTCCGCATTCACAGCAAGGGAGAGTGCAAGAACCCTCTCACAGCTCCCAGGAACAGTCTGTCGTCGAACCTCCTGCTGCCACACCAAGCTCGCATTTCCTTGGGCGCACATGATCTCTATAGATGTGTTGGATTCAGAGTCGAGGTTGGAAGTATGCGGGCGGCTTCGAGGATGGACCTGAGAGAAAACACGCACAGCAAAAGGATTTACATTCAGCGGTGGTAAAGATCGAGGATCGCTTCAATGATGCTCCGAATTTCTGCCAGAAGGCCAAGGTAAGGGTTGCGTTTGCGAGGATGTGTCCGAACAGGCGTATCTCAAGCTTTCAGCACAAGTGCCAAGTATGTCCTCTCATGTATGAAGTATTGAAGGGTTTGCAGACGTCTGTAGAGGCTAGTCTTTGAGATTCCCCGGATTGTGATTTGCGTCAGACTCTCAGTAATTATGCCAAATATGACCGCGTCTATCTGCAGTGAACAACACGTGCACATTGCATGATTGAAGCTCGTCCAGTATGGGACTTGCCCTCCTAATTCTGATTCTTGAGAAGTCGCGTGATTGTTGACAAACTGTCTGTGAGAAGGGTGCAGGAGGCACATGGGCCACAGCAGCTGCTCCTTTTGGAGTTACCTGCCTGCCGCGCAACTGCAAGTCTGAAGATGCTGCGATCATCTTACAAGGTGAAGCCCCTTGATATTATCAACCGCTCTGGAACTTTCGCTGGAAATACATTGAGAGCAGTGCTGGACACAAACGGTCTTCAATAGGACCTTGCTAGTCGGCGCAAGATCTTGGAATTTGAAATGAGCCATAATCCGAACTCCTAGTATCCCCCTTAATAACCCGTACAATATTCCCCTATATATTACCCGCCATAACCCCCTTCAAGGAGTTTAAACTATTCCTCAAATGGGTCCTCATTTTGGGGGGCGGTTTTATCGAAAAGCCCAGGCTTTTGCAGCGAGGCGCTGTACGAACTCCCGGGCTTCCTGGAGGATGGCCAAGGCTGGAAGCCGGTAGCCTGGGAGGCCGCCTTCCAGAAATACTAATAATGGTTTATGTTGGGATATATATAGGGTTTAGCGTTTAGGGGTTTAGGGTTTAGGGGTTTAGGGTGGGTACCCACTAATAGTGGTATACTAGGAATATATGCGGACCCTAATATACTTACTTACCATTACCTCTTGTGGTCACTACTACTGGGTGGGGGCCCAACCTAACTAATAATGGGAATAGCAATAGCAACGGTAACAACTATTGTAGGAATAGGAGTAAGCATGGTAACAATGGTAATAGGAATAGGCATAGTAATAATAATGGTAACAGTAAGGATGATAGTAATAGTGATCGTAATAATAGGTGGGCAACGTTCAGGGTTTGAGAGTATAGCAGCACAGATTTTAAGTCTAGGTCCAGATACTAGGGGATCCTCACCAAACCTACACCAAAAACATGCGAGCCCGAACTCTAAGGCTATGGACCTCATTCCTAAAGCAAACCCTCCAACAAAGATTTACTGCTTGGATGGGATTGATGTTTAGGTTGGGTACAACACAGCTTCAGTTGCTTATCTTTGACCCACCCAGCCTTTCATCATGGCCTCGACGGCCCTACGCACAGAGTCTCGGAGCCAAGCTGGCTGCCACACGTACACACTTGTCATCTCGTTTACAGCAGGTAACGTCAGGAGAATGGTTCAGGCTTGCAGATTGGGCCAGAACCCACAAGGCATTTCAAGAAAAAAATGATATGCTTCACGTCTCCACCCTAGCTGCACAGTTTGCAAACGCCTGACATGCGGTGCATCAGCTTTTTTTCGAAACGGCACAGTCAGCGTTGAGAGCTCCGGCCAATCAACCAGAACCCCATCGACTTAAGACCTGACAGAGCAATTGAAGGAGGGCACTGCGAGTTTCAGAATGGCGTTCCACTCCGAACACTCACATCCCCTGTGGATGGTATGAGTGCTGGAAACCGCTCAAAGCTACAGGATCCCTGAGAAGTTGCATGTACAGCTGTTAACACACAAACGAACACCACATGCGTCCCCTCGGCGGCCGCAGCGGCCAGCTGCAGGATCAGAGTCTCTACAACATTTTTCAAGTCAAACGTGAGCTATCGTCTCAACTCCTCATATCCCCAACGACAACCTCGAAAATACTCCCGGAAACAATCCCCTATAATCCCCTATATAACCCTCTTTTTCGCCAGCCCTGAGAGCTGACGAAGAAGATCCCTCTCAGGGAAATTCATCCTACCTACATCTTCACTGTAAGATCAGGAGCACCCAACATTAAATCGCAGCTTCCCTAAATTGTGGGGACCCCGATACAGACCCCAATGCTTACATTGACACCCCCAAAAGGTACCCCAAATTCTCGGAACCCCCAAATCTACACGAGGCCAGGCCTGGCCAACACGAACCTCCAGGTGAGTCGGGCGCTTGCCCTCCTGCTGCGTGCGAGGATAAAGGGGGTTATATAGGGTTCAGGGCTTGTAGGCAAGAAGGGAACATATCACAGAAGGCTCTGCCGAGGCCGGAAGCCTGGGGCGTTTAGATCCAGGGCCGGTGGACCCTACGCGCACGTTTGGCAGGCAGACTAGTCCGTTACGTCAGCTTAAGGTTTCAGACACAGGAAAAACAGAACAGCTGCAGAAGCGCTCCCCTTTTTCCATTAGTGGTGTCAGTCCAGTCACTATCAGTCAGACCCAGGCAGGGACCGACAGAACTTGCAGAACCACGGACTACAGGCCGAAAGAACAGGCTGCGTCACCGGCCCCTCATGAGTAAACATGACAGGACAGAGATGCACACTGCGCCCGGCTCCAGGCCAACACGGGAAAGCCCAAGGCAGAAGTGCAAGGCAGGCAGAAAGGACAGGGCCAAGGACAGAGCACGAAGGGCAAAGCCCAGAGGCAGACAGGCCGAAGTCTAGGCGGAGGATGTCAGCTTCAGATGTGCGATGGCGCCAGTGCGCCAGGGAATCCAAGGCGTGGTGGCAGGAGTCAAGAATTCCCCGAAATAATTGGTGAGGAACTGTTTGCGCAGGTCACGAAGCTTGTCAGGCGGAAATTTGGCAGAGGCAGAGGACAGAGGCAAAACAAGGCACGACGACACCAGCTAGCGACAATGGTGATGCAGGCGACGGGCCATTGCCGACTCGGGCGTCACGTTGGGGGCCTGTGAATTTGGATCCAGAGGCGGAAACAGCAGAAGCCAGACGAAGGTATCGTCGGGGGCAAGGCGGAACGGCCCACGCAATGGAGCTGAGGGTAGTAAACCCTTTCTTTGGCAGCGCAGACAGGGCAGCCGGGTCGTCCACGGCAACAGTCATCATACCTGACAGGTCCAAGGGGGAAGGGAGGGGCTACGGGCAGAATCCTCAACAAGCAGGAGAGGACAGGCACCGCGCAACCAAGAAAGGCGACGATTCCAGAGGCGGTGGCATCCAGAGGAGTCGGACAGCCAGTCGGCCAAGCCCTCATCCGTCATGTACTGCATGTTGTCGCGCGCCAGACACACCAGCATCGCCTGCGGCACAGGCAGAGGGCTGGCAGGTGGCGCAGACACAGTTGGCTGGCAAGGAGGGAGGCAAGGCCAACGCAGGTCCTGAGCCCAGTCGGCACAAGCGGCGGGCAGCGCAGCGGGTTCAGAGGAGCGCATGCCCCAAACTCTCTCCCGCCCCTGCCCGTTTCCTGCTGCTTGCCGTCTGCGCGCACAAGTGATGTTGCGCAGCCATTTCGCTGATCCTCGCTCTGCTCAAGGCGCTCCTGCCATGCTGCTGCCACTCGCGCAAGAGGCTGCGTGGGGGCGGAAGCCTCTACGAACAGCGTTGACGACATAGGGCCCGCACAGGCGGGGACAGAGAAGTCAGAACCAGAGTGGCCCTGGATGCGTCGCAGCTCTGGACAGAAGTTGAGCTGGCGCCCCAAGACAGGGGCAGATGAATGTGAGCGCCAGTGGCTGAGCTGGCAGACGCAGCCATAGAACCAGGGGCAGACGGACTGGCATGGCAGGCGCTGCAGCCAGTAACGCGGGCGCTTGGAAGGCCAGCGGGCAGAAGGCAACACGGGCGGGGCGGGCAGAGCCACCCCGCAAAGTGCCCAAGATCCAGGGTCAGTAACCCGTATCTGCAGCGGAAGCAGCAGAGACCTGACAGGGCAAGGTGCTTGGGCTCAGGCGCCCAGGGATCATTGTCAATGTCCAGGCGGAAGTCAGTGTCAGGGTCATTCGAGCACTCAGGTTGCAGGAATTTCCTTCAGCAAGCAACTACAGGCAATGGAAGGCAGGCGCTAATGAGATCAGTGCTCATGAAGGCCCGTTTTGGCAATGGCCGTAATTAATGTTACACCAAGACTGCTGCATACTGGACTTGGAGCTTTGCAAATGAAGGTCCGCCTTTTGGCTGCTTGATCGATCGCACCATTTTGGATTTTCGCAGCAGACGCAAGCTCTTTCATGTTTGGACGCTGTTGCCCTGGCATCGCCTGATGCATGAGTGGGACTCACCAGGTTCTCAACACGGCGCTGCTGAGTTCCTGCAATTTTTTGTTTGCCGCAGCCTGTTCTCCTGCCACGCTATCTGTCTGGCAAGCTCGCAGTACTGTTGAGGAACAAGTGAGAATTGTGGATCAGAAGCCGGTTGTCCGCTTTTGCGCTCAGCGCCGCCCTCGGATTTAGATCAGATCACCCTGCAATCCGTGATTGATGAGTGACAAGCTCAGGCCACGGTGGATGGTTTTGAATCGGAGTGGCTGAACTGCCTGCGCTGCAGTTGTTTTGGCCTTTGTATCATCTTTGGCCACATCGCAGCCTGCTGCCTCTTTTGCATCGCAACGCCATCCAGGCCGTTTTTATAAGATTTCCACGCGCATAGTGTCAGGCGTTACTTCTTCACAGCAGCGAAGGTGCCTCCTTGCCTTTTTAATTTGACTCCTTCTGCCCGACTTCACATTGCATCCTCTGCAGATCCACCACCAGCAAGATTCCAAAGCCCAAGTTTAATTTGGTGCTTGACTTTAAGAAATTTAGCTGTTGGGGCCAAGCAGGACCGACGCCTTGTCACTTGCAATTAATGGTTCACGGCTGAAGCGCTGAAGGACCGGCGCCTTCAGAGGAGAAGCACAGGTGTAAGCTAACGAACTTGACGGCTTCACAGTGATGCAATGACCTGGTCTCAGTTCAATACTTGGGCTTCCGACTGGACTTGTTGTTGTTGCAACTCCCTTGCCTACAGCTCAACCTCAGGCTGATATATGCTGCCAGTGAAAGCGTATTGTCCAGATTGGACACCAGATGCCGCGGGCGAAAATCTTACTCGCGCGGCATTTCTGAGCGCACCCATCTTGAATTTTGTCTAATTTCTCACGCCAATCGGAGGCTCAAGACATTTTTGAAAATGGACCCTGCCTGGCCTTCATTGCGCGCACGCCGTCCTGCACAACAGATACCAATCTTGATGAGGATTCCACAAATTCTCACGCAGCAGGCGTGGATTTTTCTGGCGAGGAAAGTTCTATCTCAGATTCTCTGCCAGCACAAGCTGAGCCCTTGTCTGCGAGTTCAGAGCGTGAGTGGTATGACTCTGTCAGACTTCAGCCTGAACCAAGTGACTTTGTAGAATGGGATCCATACATGTGTGATAGCAACTATATGCCTGCCGAAGGTGCGGATACCATGTCAGGAATGCAACCTGCCTCCCTGAAAGCCCCGCTGGGTCAACTTGCACGCGTTCCGTCTGCAGACAGTTAGCATGAGCCATCAAACCATAAAGCGCTGGGGCTGCCACGGACACCCCGTTTTCCGTTGGACTTGCTGACGATCCAAACACGCAGCGCTGAACACTAAGCCAAAGCCTCAATAACTGCGGTGTTGCGACTGCAGACATCTTCAAAGAAGGTTACAGGCTTTGGTGCACTCAGCATGTTTCCGATGAACTGGACTGCTTCAACACATTGTCTGCTCAGCTAAAGGAAAGGTTGCGGGGAACAACCCTCACGCACCACATTTGTGTGTTCCGTGCAGCTCGGGGAGCTTTTGCACTTGCGCATCTTGGCCTGTCTGTCTCACGGCCAACGAAATAAATGCACAAGATCAGCTCCTTGCACAACCTGTGTTGGCAGGAGGGAAGTTCCGCAGGATTGATTCTTGTCACTCCTGTTGCATTTTCCGGCGGCCTTGCGTGGCAGGCTTGCCAATCCAGCCAAGCCGTGCGCGCAGTTGTTGGCTGGTTGCCGGCCAGCACTTCCATACTCTTGTCTTGCATCTTGCGTACTCTCAGCCAGTAGTGTACAGCAGCTGTCTTGCACAAAAGTAGCTACTGTGAGCCTCTAGCCGCTTGGGGCCGCTGCGCGGGCTGGATAACGTTGCTTTGTGTCTTGTTGTTTTGCTCTCTTGCATGGGAAAGTGCTGAGCACAGCTTAGCCGCATGATAACATCTGTTCCCAAACGCGGCGCAAAGCGTCACTCAGATGATGCTGCGGTTGAAAGTGAAAAGGCTGCACCTGCGACGAGATCCAGTTCCCCAGTATAGACCGGGCTTCCTATATGGTGCACAGCAAAGAAAGACGCAGGCAAAGCAGGAACATCTACTGCAGCTTGAGCCTCAGACTGCGTCAAAGCTACATTTGAACTGCCTTTCTTGCCCTTACCATCTTCACCCTTCTTTCCTTTTACCTTCCTTGCCTTTACCTTTAGACATCCCCTGACTGCCATGAATCTGCTGCTCAGCCATCATCAGGCTGGTTTGCTTGCAGGATTCTTCAGCTTGCCAAGACCGGTCTTCTTGACAGTGTTCGTCTTGACAGTGAGCTTTCTTCTCGTGACGTGATTTGAAGAATTTCTTCCACCGCGGCGTCTGCCACGGCCCTTGCTTGAGCGTCCTTTGCCTTCGCCTTTTTTTCGATCTACGGCCTTGAAAGCGATGAAACCACGATTCATTTTGCTCATCATAATGTAGAAAACATCTTCACGTGCATCCAGAAAGCCTTCTGCTCCATCATCTTCATCTTCGGCCCAGAAACCAAAGGAGCCATCAAGTTCTCCTTCATAATGAAGCTCCTTCGTTCGGTTGAGGAGCGGATTGTCAACTGCTGTTCTTGGATTGCAAACATCTCAAGGAAAATATCTCTGATGGTACCAGCATCCAACCCAACCAGATTTATGCCAAGATGTGCCATCACGCTGGTCAGTGGCATCCTCTGATCAAAGCTCTACTCTGCGTGTGATACAGAGAGGGGTCCTATCAAGCTCTTCGTGAGCGGCACCTTCTGCATATGCGCTGCCCTTCGTCTCTCATTGACAGCGGTCAGGATTTGGGTTGCTGACGTTGCTTGCCGTTCATCCGCAAGAAAGGATTGCGTATATAGTCTCGCTAAATCATGTGCTGAATCACTGAGGGGAGTAAAAGTATCTCCCCACGCATCTTCCAATCTGTTCGATTGAGTCTGAAATCTTGACATCCATTTCATCAAGTCAGACGACCCACGGCGCAAATTCTTAAACTGCTGAAAAGACATTCACACTCCCCTTTGCAAAGAAGGGACTGAGTGCCCGCTTAAAGTATGCCACACCATCTTCCTTGCTATTCAGCTGGTCCCTGCCCAGGACCTTTTTCTAGATGGTGGCCTCGCCTTCATATCAGTTTCGAAGGGCTGGTCCTCTTTTGTCTTCGCAGCTATGTCGCACCAGTCGTCTATAGCATCTTCATACGCAAACCACGATGTCTTCCCATCGAGTGAAGGTGGCATTTTTGCCGTCAACTGGGAAAATTGACTCATATGAGTTATGTCATATGTTGACACTGCCTGCGTGGTATACACCTCTACATAAAGGTCTTCATCACGCATGTCTGTGT